GTAATATCATGTATTTTTTTTAAAAAAAAAAAAATTAGAATTTGAAATGTATCAATCAGATTCATTGTATTTAAATTTTGATATTTTTTTTGAGAACAACTTTTTTTTTTTTTTTTTTTGAATAAACATTTTGTCATTGAGAGTCTAAATTTATGAAGAATATTTCAAGAGAAATTTGTTATTTGTTTTTTTTTTTTATTTTTTTTTTTGGTGTGTTTTTTAATTACAGATATTCCCCATAAACATGAAAGTTTTGGGTGGAAGCCTTGTAACAGCAGCCAACTGGTTCTTCACTTGGGTTATTTCATATACCTTCACCTTCCTAATGGAGTGGAGCTCAGATGGTACTCTTTCTCTGCCTCTCTCCAATTAAGAGCTATTATTGGGCCTTAGTGGGCTCATTATAGGCCCACATTTGTCATTTGAATCATATATTTTATAAGACTCATCGAGATCATTTATGCAAAAATAAAATAAAATTAATCGGATATTAATAATTATATAATCAAATTAAATTTGTCTTAAAAATAGACAATGTAATTTCAAAATCATATTTTTTTTATCTATTTTTATAAAACAAATATACACTAATCATTTGACTAGTGATATCCAATAAATCTAATTTTTGTATGTATGATCTGCTCGCACAAGCCATACAAAATAAACAGGGTTCCCTTCCATAACCCCATCGGCCTTCCCTGTCTTTGTCTCTATCTATAATAATAATAAAAAAAATTAGTAACCAAATTTTGTTTATATATATCATTTTCTTTAATATGTTCGCATTTAACCATTTTTTTTTTTTTTTTTCAGGAACATTTATCATGTTCGCAATTATGGGAGCCTTAACTATTCTATTCGTTGCAAAGCTAGTACCAGAGACAAAAGGCCGAACCCTAGAAGAAATACAAGCATCAATGAACTGATAAATTTGGTATTATTTGTTTTTTAAAATAGTAAAAGCCATGGAAATTGTGATTCCATATTTCACATTTGGTAAGATAGATCAAACATTTTGGGAGGTTTGTGAAAATTTTCAAATCATATTTATTGCTTAGCCATAGAGAGAGAGAGAGTCAGAGATTGAGAAATTTTGTTTCAGTTTGAGTCGTGTTATACAAATAAATAAAATTTGTAAGTTTTGGGCACTAGTCATGTTTGTAGGCTTATTTATTTCAACAAAAATCAAATTAAACCAAACTAAGCCTTATGTCCCATCAAATGGGGTCGGCTACATGAATCCTTCTTCTCCAAGCAGCCCTATCAAAGGCCATTTCATTGGTCAAATTAAGTAGAACCATATATCTATTTACAACGCTAGCCAATATTAATATAGACCTATCATGTCTCCTAATACTTCCATCTACCGTTACAGTATCGACTCTCTTCACTACTGTCTCTGTTGGTCTCCGTTGAATATGACCAAACCATCTCAATCAATTCTCTCTCAACTTATCTTCTATCGGTGCTACTCCTACCCATTCCTGAATACACTCATTCCTAATTCTATCTTGATTAGTTTTGCCACACATCCACCTTATCATTCTCATCTCAACCACACTCATCTTATCTACATGTTGTTTCTTGGTTGCCTAACACTCCGTTCCATACAACATCGTTGGTCTAATAGTCGTTCTATAGAATTTACCTTTTAATCTAGTGGATATTCGTTTATCGCACAGTACCCCAGACGCACTTCTCCACTTACACCATCTCGCCTTAATCCTATGGGTCACATCCACATCAATCTCCCCCACTATTGTGATAATCGATCCTAAATAACGAAAATGTTCACTCTTAGGCAGTTCTTGGTTCTCAATCTTTAATTCTTCTCTACTTTGATAGAAAATTTATTTGTCTTTCCAGCAGGCAATCTGATAGTGGTCACTACTCCTTCATACATATCCCTAATCACATAAATATAACCTTTTGTCACCAATTTCTTCTCTAACATCCATCATATTATATCCCGGGACACTCTATCATATACTTTTTCAAGGTCGATAAACACCATACGAATATCTTTTTTATTTTCTCTATACTTTTCTATTACTCTCCTCAAAAGATAGATCGCTTCCATTGTTGACCTACTAGGCATAAACCAAAATTGATTTTCTGACACATCTGTTATATCTCGCAATCGGCGTTCCACCACCCTCTCTTACACTTTTATTAAATGACACATTAGCTTGATTCCTCTATAGCTGTTACAATTCTAGACATCTCATTTATTCTTATAGATTGGCACTAAAATACTCTTCTTTCACTCATCTGGCATGTTTCTAGTCAACAAAATTTTGCTAAACAATCTAGTCAGCCAAGTAACCCCCTTTTTTACCCAAACACTTCCAAGCTTCAATAGGGATATCATCGGGTCCGAAAGCCTTATTTGATTTCATCTTCTTAAGTGCAATCTCTACTTCAAAGTTCCTAATCCTGCAATAGAACATATAGTCTTGATTTATCGTATTACTGGCTATTTCTTCCCCTATTGCCGTACATCCATGTTCCTCATTTAATAGTTTCTCAAAATAGTTCTTCTATCTTTTCTTAATCTCTTCATCCTTCACCAATACCTTAGAATCCTCACTCTTGATGCACTTAACTTGATTAAAATCTCGTGTTTTCCTCTTCCGTATCCTAGCAAGTTTGTATACTGTCTTTTTTCCCTCCTTACTATCTAGTCTAGTGTATAGGTCATCATAAGCTTTCAACTTAGCCTTTCTTACTACTTTCTTGACCTCCTTATTAGCCAATGTATAGCTCCTAAGGTTTTCCTCAATTCTATCATTCTGTTACTTTTTAAAGCACTCTTTTTTTGCCTTAACTACTGCTTGAATCTCTTCCCTCCACCACCAAGTTTCCCTAGAGTTGGGTCTTGTTCCTTTCGACTCTCCAAGCACTTCCCTTGAGATTCTCCTCACACAATTGGCCATCGAGTTCTATATAGTGTTAGCATCATCTTCTAAGTCCCAAGTACCTTTCTTATCCATTATTTTCTTAAATATTTTTAGTTTACCCCCTTTTAGGTCCCACCATCTCGTCCTACAACGCCCACCATTCTTCCTAGCTTGGTATTGCCCTTTAAAACATAAATCTAGTACCAAAATCCTATGTTGAAAGGCCAGGCTCTCTCCAGGAATCACCTTACAATCATTGCATTTTAGGCGGTCTACTTTTTTCACTAAAAAGTAACCTATTTGGCTCTTAACTGACACACTCTTAAAGGTTATCAAATGTTCCTTTCTCTTCTTATACATAGTATTGGCCACCACTACGTCAGAAGCCAACGCAAAATCTAAGATATTCTCTCCAGCCTCATTTCTGTCACCAAAACCATATGCACCATGTACCATTTCATAGCGTAGTTTATCTATGCCTACATGGCCATTAAAATCTCCACCTATAACCAGGTTTTCTCCTACGGGTATCTTCTAAAAGATCTCATCCATTTGCTCTCAAAAATCCCTTTTAGTCTGATCATCTAATCCTACTTGAGGGGTATATGCATTAATAAGGTTCACTATATTCCCTCTAATAACTAGTTTAACTAACATAATCTTATCTCCTTTCCTAATGACCGCCATTACATTCTCCACAAGACCCTTAGCAATTATGATTCTAACACCATTCCAGCGTCTATCCTTACTACTATAATACAGTTTAAAACCGGTATCCTCAATTTCCCTAGCTTTCTCACTTGTCCACTTAGTTTCTTGTACACAAGCTATACTAACTCTCCTCCTAATTATAACATCTACCAATTCCATCGTCTTACCAGTTAAGATTCCTATATTCTAAGTGGCTACTCTAAACCTATAGTCTTAGACTAGTTTCTTTACCCGCGCTTGTCGAGAAAAATGAGGGAATCTTTGCCCATTTTCATCGCACCAATACGTCAATGCGACGCCCCTTGCTCATTTTATTTACTTCAACAAAATGGACTAATTTAGTTGGGTATTTCTGAATTGATTATCTCTCTTATTATGGAGATTGTATTAATTTATTATTACTATTATTATTTTTTGTTATGGTCTTTGGCATCAAATTTTGTTTTTAAAAAATATTTCAATAGCTTATGTTTATAGTTACTTTTTCACCGCAACTAGGTGACTTGAATTTGTTGAGGAAACAGAAAAGAAAGGAAAAAATAATAGAAAAAATAATGAAATCAAATAAATTCTTTTTTTGTTTGGTTGGAAAGGAAAATAAGAAAAAAATAAATAAATACATATTTCTTAATAGAAACTCAAAATTTATTACCTTTGAAAATGAATGAATACAAGTAAGTTTTCTATTTTCTTTTCATTCTCTCATTAAATACTTGGTCTAAACATAGCATTAGGGTTTACTTTCGAACAATTTCAGAAATTGAAATAATCGCACTCCCTAAGAGTCCAAAAAATTATGCAATAGGCTATGAGAAGACCATGAGAGTAATTTTCAAAGACTTGATTGATAAAAAAATATATATTAAAAAAATCAGTTAAATACGTTTTTGGTCTTTTTTTATTTTTATTTTTAGATAGCAAATACATTTTTGGTCTTTGAAGTACATATTATGTGTTATTTTGATAATCAACTATCCAATCATGTTGATCTGACTTCAAAGTACAAAATGTGTCATTATTTGGTCCTCAAGCTTGATGTTGATGGAATCAAGGATATTTTGGACATTTTAAACTTTAAGTTGCTTTTCTTAAATCATCATAGTCACATTAGGCATTATCTAAAAATAACAAAAATCACACGTCATCTTATTACTTGTGGTATACAAATTGGGCAATTGTAGAATCCCCTAATGTATCTCTTTGCAAAAAAGTCCCACTTCACATGTTTGACATGTTAATGAGTACATGCTTTCCATCCAAATTCTCTATCCCATTTCTATAAACTAACGTCACATCCAACAAAAATAACTAACCAACAACAAATCGAATTCTCTCTCTCTCTCTCTCTCACACACACACACACGCACACACACAATGGTTGAACCATCTATGGCACAACCAAACATGATGGTTGAACTATCTATGGTACAACCACACTCATTTACTCCACCACCCCTTCCCACATTATTGCCCAAAAGTGTTGTTAGCTACCCGGTTCACAAAACCCTAGCAACTGCAGCCAATCTTGCAAACCTTCTACCAACCGGTACAGTCCTTGCATTTCAAGCCTTGACACCTTCGTTCTCCAATAATGGCACTTGCCAAATCGCCAACATGTGCCTCACTACATCCCTCGTCGGATTCTGTGCTATCATTTGCTTCCTCTCCTCTTTCACCGACAGCTTCCTTGGCTCTGATGGCAAGTGCTACTATGGTATTGCCACGTTCAAAGGCCTATATGTCTTCAACTACAATAATCATGAAGGGGAAGAGAGAAAGAGCTTGGAGTACTTGGCTAGGTTCAAAATCAACAGGATAGACTTTGTTCACGCCTTTGTGTCACTCTTCGTGTTCTTGGTCTTCGCCATGAGTGACTATGAGGTGCAAACTTGTCTATTTCCTGAAGTAGGAGCAAATGAGAATGCATTGATAATGAATTTGCCACTAGGAGCTGGGGTTTTGTCAAGCTTTTTGTTCATTATCTTCCCAACTACAAGAAGAGGGATTGGGTATGCGGACATGACTCCCTAGCATGATGGTGTGTCTCCTTCTTAAGGCTTGTTTGGTGGTGCAATTAAGTAATCTCTTAACTAGGGTTGATCAATCTATGTTCAAAAAATATGTCTGTTATCCAAATAGCTAGATTTTCACTTTTTAAGTAAAATGAATTGGATTAAGTAATCTCTAAACTCGGGCTGATCAATCTATGTTCAAAAAATATGTCTGCTATCCAAATAGCTAGATTTTCACTTTTTAAGTAAAATGGATTGGATTATTTGTAAACTTTCTTTCTACTTTGTTGTAAATAGAAATTCCTTGATGAATATAGTTCATCTACATGCTTAATGTTTGGTTTTAACATCTATAGCATTGAGTTTTTTTGCATTATAGAACAAAAAATGATAAGGAGACAACCATCTACAAACCTCTCACAAGACTATGGGTTTCACAATTCGTCGGATTCAAAGATCTATAAAAATAATAATAATAAATAAATAAATAAGAGAAAATCATTATAATATGTAAAAATTACATAGATGTAAGCATTAGTCATACTTCATTATTTCTTTTCTTTTGTTAGGTTAGACCCAAAGACCAATGTAGGTTAATATTTTCAGGCTTAAGTAGACTTAGGAACAAACATGTTTTATTATTAATTTTTTTTAATGTAAAATACGCATGTAAATTAAAGTTTATATATATTTTTTTAATTAATTATGATCCACAAAATAAGATTTTACTATAAATGATTTATATATAATATTACATTATATATATATAATTATTATTAAAACATATGTTTCACAATATATTATCTTTTTCAAAATTTTATATATTTATCATCAATTAATATTAAAAGCATAGAATTACTTTTACTTTTATTCCCTAAGCTATTGTCATTTTTTTTCCTTAAACTATTAATTTCATCTATTTAATTTCTAAAGTTTCTAATTTCAACTAATATGGTTCATTGATGGGGGGAAAAAAATTATTTTAAAATTTAAACAATTTAAATCATATAACTAAATACTTTGTTTTTTTATTCACTACTTTGTAATAAGAGGTAAAGAAAAATATGAGTGTTTGATTGTAAGATATAAGTTGTCTAATATACTGTAAATTAGAATATGAATGTTTAGTTGTATGATTAATATTATTTAAATTATAAAAAAGTTGAGTTTCTACCATTACTAGTTAATGTGTTGTCTCCGATTATACCCTATGAATTGAAATAAATAACTTTACAGATTAAATTAATAAAATTGATAGTTTAATGAGAATAAAATAGAAAAAATAATAATGATTTAGGTGATAAAAGTAAACTAATCCCTCATTTTAATTGTTTTCATCCCAGCTCCACAATTTTGATGCTTAGTTGAGTTTTCCACAAAAAAAAGAAAAAAGAAAAAAGAAAAAAGAAAAAAGAAATTATTTAGACAAAAATAAATACCAAAAAATATTTTTAAAATTTTAAATCGAACTAAAAAAGCCATTAAAAAAAGAAAAACCCCACAATTTTATAAGCCCTTATAATATTGAACTAGGGCACAGTCTAACGAATTCAGCCCAATCTGAATAAAGGCCCCCCAAAAAAATAGGGTGTCAACTAAAAATTTAATAATTTTTTGGGTCTAAATTGTAAAAACAGAAACAAAAAAATTATTGTATAGAAACAGAGGTGACAAACAGAGTGACGGCGTTCGGCTTCTGGCGATTTTTTTGGTGAGTCCTCTATTTGTTTCTTTATCGAATCTGTGCCCTAACTTCTATTATTGGTTTTTAGTTTGATTACAATTAAATCCTTCTTTTTTCTGCTATTAGATTATTATTGTGTTGTTCTGTTTTGCCCTAATTGTTCTCTATGTCCTCTCTCTGTTTCAATGTGTCTCCAAACATAATTTATTGCAGATATAAAGGGGTTTTGGTTGAATTTCTTCATTATCTAATCATGCTTCTTAGAAAGTATAGTTTTGGATATGAAAATAGAAAAAAGAAGCAAAAAGTAGAGAGATTAATTCAAAGTCAAGCAAGAGCTCTTGAGGATAATTTTTTTGGTGGCAAGAAACAAATAGAGATTTCTTCAAGTTCAGTTGATGAAGATTTGGTGATTGAAGAACCTAGTGGTTATACCAACACTGTAAGTAATTTGTTGATTAGTGATTTATATTGTAATCTCATTCTAGACTCTGAAGAACATGTATATAAGTTACTCGAGCTTGACTCGCGTTTGGCTCATTAAAAGTTTGTTTGAGATCGATTCATTATGTAAATAAGTCAAGCTTGAACACAATTTTAAGCTTGTTAAGTTTTCAAACTAAGCCTGAACAACCTACTACTCGTCTTGATAAGCTTATATGCACTATAGAAAACCAAGCTATGAAGCACGGATACTTCAAAAAGGGTGACGTATCCGTATCGGATACTTATAGGATACCGATACTCCTCGGATACTCGCGGATACGAATCGGATACTTCTTAAAAGTATCGGATACTTCTTAATTAATTTTTTATTAATTTTGAAGTATCGGATACTTAATTTTGAAGTATCAAATACTCGAAGTTACATATTACTTATAATATTTTGTTTAGTTCTTTCATAAGAGGAATATAGTGAGAGCTAAAGTAATAGAATTTGTCAAATTGATGTATCCTTGTTGTCTCTCTCACTTCTCTCTCACTTTCTCACGTTTCTTCTCTCTGCTCTCATTCTTTTTTTGGTGTTGGCATGTAAGGATGATGTTTAATTTACATTTGCATTTGCTTTTGCTTTTAGTTTTGGATGTTTTATGAATGTTTGAGCACTTTTAGGATAATAGGAATCCCTCTCTTTATTTATTAATTTACTTTAAGTTTTATTTTCATGCATATTACATTATTAAAATCATAAAAAAAAATAAAAATTACGAATGTATCCCCGCTGTACCCGTATCATACTTTTTCAAATTTTGACATATCGCCATATCCACATCCCCATATCACCATATTTGTATCCGTGCTTCCTAGGCTATCATTGATGACTTAAAAAAGTATATTTGTTGAAATTTTTATTTAAGAATGGTTTTTTGGCTTTGGCTTTAGCTAAGGTCTTGTGATATTCACTGATGAAGGGGAACAAGTTGAAGCTATTGACCTTGAAGACTCTTAGTTTTGTAGGAATCTTTCTTCTTTATCAAGTTGTCTTTTGGTTTAAGTTTTATTTTTATGCATACTGTATTACTAAAAATTGTTAAAATAATATTTTTTACAAACGTATCCCCGCCGTACCCGTATCCTAGTTTTTCAAATTTTGTCGTATCGCCGTATCGTATCGTATCCGTATCCGTATCCCGTATCCGTATCCGTGCTTCCTAGAAACCAAGCTGCTTGAGCTCGACTCGTGTGTTCAGCTTGTTAGAAATCAACTCGTTGTGTAAACAAGTCAAGCTTGAACATAGTTTTAAGATCGTAAAATTATCAAATCAAGCTTGAACAACACACACCCTAGGCCATCCTCGGCCTTCTTCATTTTCGATGAAAAACAAACAAAATCTCAATCTCCAAAAGCGTTTTCCTTACCCCGCCACATCTCCCTCCCTTCGTCGAGCCTTTCCTTGAATGGTTGGGGGAAGCATTCCCTTAACTTCGCGGGCATTCTTTCTAGCCTTACTCAAATAAGGGGTGGATTTGAACATAGGCTCAAACATGATTTTGATTCGGAGAATCGATTGAGATTGAGAGGCAGCCGCGAGAAGCTCCGATTGGACGAGAGATTGAGGAACGGGATTGATAGCCTGATTATTCAATTGAAACATATTTCAGTGAAGATTACGAACATGTAATACCTTCTTTTGAAGAAAGGAGTAATAAAATGTTGTTCGATTTTCTAGAGCGTTTAGCAGTGGTTACTGCTGAAACTAAGATTCGAGCTGTTTACTTCCATAACTTCTCACGATTCGATGGTATTCTATTAATGAAATATTATACTTCTCATCGTGGGGTTAAGTACAAAATCAAACCTCTTATGAGGAACCATAAGCCTTACGAGTTAGCAGTGTATCTGGGAAAGAAAAGGGTGTTCCAGACTTGTTTTCATATATTCAGTCAAATGAATAACTTCTTCAAATATTATTTAAAATGGTAACTACTACTATTGAACTTCTACCAGTTTGAGTAACTATTTTGGGCTACAGAAGCGGTTTTTTTTCTATTTTTATTTTTCTTCTGTTTTTCAAATGGTTATCAGGTGGATGAGGATAGACAACGAATATCTCTTGGCATGAAGAATTCATATTTTATGAGCAATTGTGCAAAAGTGCAACATCCTCTTCTTGCTGAAGTGGAAGCAAGGGCTTCTATTCTTCCACTTGAGGTTCCTCTCGATGATATAGAGAACTCAGACATGGTTAATGCAGTTTGTCAAAATATAGAGCACGTCGGTGATCTAGATACCCTAGATGAAAAGAATAAGAGACCAGCAAAGCATAACTCGAAAGAAGCGAGGTAATTTCTTTATTTGCATATTTTCTTATAGAGGGCTCTGGCTGTCTTGTTTCCCTATTAAGAATGGCAACTGCTCTGCACAGGGAACGAGAAATTAGGGCTGCTGAAGAACTGCTACTAGAGAAAGATATTCCAAGAAGTGTTGATGAATTTGAGAAATTGGTTAGGGTTTCACCAAATAGCAGCTTTGTCTGGATAAAGTACATGGCATTTATGCTTTCTTTGGCTGATGTTGAGAAAGCCCGCTTGATTGCTGAGAGGTACCCATTTAGCGGTATTATTAGTTTCCAGTTTGCTCTTTTTTTTTTAAAAAAAAAGGAGTGTTTTTCTGCAATTTTTTTTTTTTATAAATTTTTTATTCTCTCATTTGAAATTCTGGCTTCAAGCAAAACATTTTGTACTGTACCCTTGACCATGTCATCTGATGTTTGTGTTCTGTAGGTCTTTGAAAACAATAAACATCCTAGAAGAATCTGAGAAGTTGAATGTATGGGTGGCTTATTTTAATTTAGAGAATGCATATGGAAATCCTCGCGAGGTAAAAGATAAATATATATACATGTATATCTTACTGTGTTTCCAAATAGCTTTCTCACTATCAGTGTCATTCCAATAGCCTCTAGGAGTTTTCTTACTTTAGTTTTTCTCTTCAGGAGGCTGTTTCAAAAATATTTCAAAGAGCATTGCAATATTGTGATCCCAAAAAGGTGCATCTGGCACTGTTGGGAATGTATGAAAGGACCGAGCAACAACAGTTGGCTGACGAGCTTCTCAGCAAAATGAGCAAGAAATTCAAGCATTCATGCAAGGTATTTATGATAAACTACTATTCGCGTTTTTAGGTTTTGTTTTCAGAATCCGTTTTCAAAAATGTTTTGAAAAAATAGAAACTAGTTTGAAAAAGATATTTTCAAAATTTATTTCCCCCCCAAAATGAAAATGATATGTGTTTTTTATTTTATTTTTTGAATTTTTTTTCAGAAAATAGATTTTGAAAACGAAATCAAATAGAGCTTTTCCTCAAGATGAGCTATCAAATTAAACTACCAGACTTTACATTGTGGAATTTTAGGTTTGGTTAAGGCGGATTCAGTGGCTATTGAAGCAAAATCAGGATGAAGTTCAGTCTGTTGTAAAACGCGCTGTTCTATGCCTTCCCCGCCATAAGCACATTAAGTTCCTCTCACAAGCAGCCATCCTTGAGTTCAAGTGTGGGGTTCCTGATAGAGGCCGATCAATGTTTGAGGGAATGCTTCGTGATTACCCTAAGAGAACAGATTTGTGGAGCATTTATCTTGATCAAGTAAATTCTTTTTTGTTGTTTACTGTTTGATAAAATGTTTGTTTTGTGCCCTAAAATTGTCTTAAAACTTAACAGGAAATTCGACTTGGTGACATGGATGTGATTCGTGCATTGTTTGAGAGGGCAACAACCTTGAGCCTTCCAGCTAAAAAGATGAAGGTGTGTGTGCCATTACCCCATTAGTTTAGATTTCTACCCTGTTTGGTGTTTTTTATAGAGCTGCTTATAAGTTTTTTGGGAAATCTTGAAAAGCAGCGAAAAGGGTGTTTTTTGCTTCTATTTTCTGATTATCAACCTTCAGCATGCAAGAAGCTGCACCAAACAGACCCTTCCTTCTTGTTAGGAGTGTCTCACACGAGTGCTTTGTTGTTTTTGAAATGCAGTTCTTATTCAAAAAGTATCTCGAGTTTGAAAAGTCTCTAGGCGATGAAGAATGTATTGAATCTGTTAAGCAGAAGGCAATGGAATATGTTGAGACTACTTTCGCTTGATACTTGTTGTATACCCTATTTCCGGACAATGTTCCTATTCCAGTGTTGCAAATGAACTGATCAGGTGTTTGCCCTGCAGTGGAGGACCCACACAGATGCTCTGTTTGATTTAGTTTTCAAAATCTGATTTTTATTTTTTGTTTTTTTAAATACTAATACTTTTTGGCAAAAGAAACACCAAACTAGTTTGAAAACAAAATGAAAATGATGATTATTTTTTTTGCAATTCATTTTATTCACCAAATTAGTTTTTACCTTTCTTTAAAAAAAAATTCAAAAAACATATTTTGAAAACGAAATCAAATAGATCGGAAGCTTTTGTCAAGCGTGATAGGAGAGAAGCAGCTCGGCCTTATTTTCCAGCAATGAAGATCAGGTGAGCAACAGTTAGAAATGGATGCCATTAACAGCCATCCTGTTTTTCTCAAGATTGTGGTTATTCACAAAGGTGAGACATAAATATAGAAATTAACATGTTGATTATGGAGACTTTTTGTTATCTCTACTCTTGAAGTGGTATAAGCTAAGTCCTCTCTTTTTTCTTCCTAGTTGAAAAGCATGATGTTGAATCATAAATTTAATAGATTTATGTAAAATATGCATACAAATTAAAGTTTTTTTTTAAAAGAATCACCTATAAATTAAATTTTCTATTCATTTTTTCATTCACAAAATAAATTTTTACTATTTATGCAGTATAGCATTATATATATAATTATTAAAAATATATGTTTATGCATATATTATCTTTTCCAAAGTTTTATATATTTAAAGAAAGGAAATGGATTACGTGGTCTTGGGCTCGGTCGGCTCACTTCAGATTCGCTTTGACTGTCTGTACTATTAGTTTTGTAGTATTCATGATTGTTATGAATATATGATTATGAATGTGTCACTTGAAAGGATGATAAATTAAATGAGATATAAAAAGATGATGGATTTAAGAGTAATGCTATATAGGGGCTTGTGCGGTGCGATTCAAACTGTTTGAAAGTAAAATTACAAATTGAATTGCGGGTTAATGGATTAGTGAATCGACAAATTGTTGTTTGAGCAGTTTTTGGAGAATTGATGGATTGAAGAATATTCTAATTAATTATCATATATTTGCATAATATATAACATTAATTTGCATAATATTTTTTAGATATATAATACAAAGTAATTTTACATAATATGTTTCATATATATAAAGGTAAATTACATTTACCTCCCCTGAGGTTTCTGACAAATACAGGGACCTCCCCTGTGGTTTGAATAATTACAGTAACCTCCCCTGCTTTACCTGACAATGTCAAGATTTCCTCATTCCGTCAATTATGTACAAACAACGTTAGTTGCCTATACAAAATGACCATATTACCCCGTCATTTGAGGGCAAAAAGACAAAATATCCTTTGTTCACTTCCTCATATAACCTTATCATGCACCTCATTCTATTTGATAATTATCCATCTTCATCTCTTTTCCCTCTGCATTTCTCCTCCACTACACCCAATTTCTACCTTCTCCCTCTACCTGCTTCGACTCTCCATTGCTACCAACCTCTAACTTCATAACCCCCAACCACCACAAATCTCCATTGCCCTAACCGTATACGCTACTATATCTCAACAAGTAGAAAATCGAGACACCAAACCCATGAGGAGCACAGAACGAGACAACAATGCCAAAAAGAGATAGAGAGAGAGATGTCGAAGGCGGATTCTCAGTGGTGTCGATCTTGATCTTGCTGATCTTGTCGATCATCGTACACCACCAGATCTCATCGTCTTAATGTTCGTCGTTGTAGGAGTTCATGGTGATTAGTCTTTAAGGGAGGTGGCACCGGCGTCCATGGAGTTCTTGATCACTATGGCTGTAGATATAATGGTGTTTGTCTTGATTTCAATGTTGCTTGTTAGAGGTTAAGAACAGAGAAAGTGGAGATGGAGGTTGAAACAAAAAGGTTTGTTGGCAGGAGGGAGATAGAGGGAGGCAGTGGTGTGTGTAGAGGATTTGAGGGCAAAAAAAAAAGATGGAAGGAAGAGTGAGACATTGGGGCAGTGAGTGGTAGAAGTTGAACCAGAAGATGGATATGGAAACAAAAAAGGGGGGAAAAAAAATTCACCTTATTCTCCTACAATCTTACTCTTTCTTCTATTTCCTCTTTTTCCCCATGGATGACCATTTATTTTCTTCTCTCTTTCATGCTCTCCAATCAAAATTCATCTACTCCCCCTGATTTAGTTTTCCCTTCTCTCATTTGTTGCCCACTCTCATCCTTTCTAATTTAAAACCAAATCACACCAAAAAAATAAACCCAAATTCCAATTAAAAAATAATCACAAATCTATATCACTATCCAAATCTTCCAAAGACTTGACTGAAATCTCAAACAAAGATTCAATACAAAAAATCTCATTAAAGCTTAAATCCATAACAAAGAAATAAATCTCAAATCAAATAAAAATTCAGATGAAATAATTTGCAGGTTTTGATTTGGTTGCCTTTGAGAAGGGTAAGAAGAGATGAAGAAGAAAGTTGGTTGGTGATTGTGCTCTGTTGGTCAAACGTAAAAAGGAAGGAAGATGATTGTGTTGTGTTGGTCAATAAAGCAAAAAGGAAGAAAGCATAAGAGGAATAAAAATAAATAAAAAAATAAAAAAAAGGGTAGATTCAATCTCATGTAACCCAATTCATGGAGTGTTTTGAGACATTTGAGGGCATTATGGGTATTTCATTATTTATCTTTGATGACATCATCAATTTCTGTTAGTAGTGTGAACGGCAATTAAAAAATGGGGGAATCTTGACATTGTCAGGTAAAGTAGGGGAGGTTACTGTAATTATTCAAACTACAGGGGAGGTCCCTGTATTTGTCAGAAACCTCAGGGGAGGTAAATGTAATTTACCCAAAATAAAAAATTAGAAAAGGAGAGAGAAAAAGGAGAGGGAAGCTCTCATACTCATTTTTACATTGATATTTTATTGGAAGTTAAAAAATATACATGTATTAACTATAGCGGAGAGGACCGATTTGGTTGATGGATTATAAATTTTAAAATTTAAACCGCGATTAGGGGTCAGAGGTGCGAATTGATGCAGATCGATACAGTTTTAGTAGATTTGGTGGTATTTTACAAAAGTCCTATTAAAAATTCTACTAAATGTCTCACATGGGTATAGTATCTACACAATATGGATCTTATGTGAGTCCCACACTTATGTGAGATATTTAATAAAATTTTTAATAGAATTTTTAAGACCTCTAGCATTTTTGTTTGCATGGGTAGTCACTGCTATCGGTAACGGTCGATATAGTATAGCATTGAATTTTATATACTTCCCCCCCCCCAAAAAAAAAAAACAACAAATAGAAGAGAGAAGGAAAAAATCTTAATATTATATTTGGTTAGGGAATTTAAGAAGGGATTTGAAAAAAAAAAAGAAAAAAGTATGTAAAATTAGATAAAATATAAGTATATTTTATTTATTTTTTTTCATTTTTTATTTTAAATCTTTTGTCAAATCTTCTAACTAAACACAGCGTAACTAAAAGAAAAGGAAAAGAACTAGGAGGGAGTGGGGGCGGCAGAGGGCTATGTGATGGAGGAAGTGGTGGCATGGAGTTGTTGAATATTTTTTTCTTTTTCTTTTTTTGTAATTTTTTTTTTTCCTTAACGGTAATTATGCTTAAAGGTAAATAGTAATAATAATGAAAATTAAAAAAAAAAATAAAAAATTTAATGTTTTCACACTTGGAATGCCAAGAATGGCACTTACTACACAAACCTAATTGGTATATCAACGGAAGATGTGATATAATTTTAAAAATTTGAATTTTTGTAGTTTGTATAATGGGTGAAGTCCATAATTTTGAAATTGTAATATTATAACATATATTAGTACACTAATTAGTATACCACTGATTGTTGAATTCATTACAAAACATATTCCCTGAGAAAGACCACTCAATATTATGGCTATTTTTTCTTCGAGGCAAAGAAAATGAAAATGAAAATGAAAAACCGAAACAAATAAGAGAGAAGACATCCAAATGAGGCAACTTTGTTAACTGGATTCAATCACTACCGAACCTCAGCACGGTTACTTGAAGAAACACACCTGTCAAGCCAAATATAAACTGTCCAAAACTGCAAATCCAGCAGCAACACCTCCTTCATTCGATGAAGAAACCTTTGTCCGCATTAGGTAACCACATTCCTCATTCATAATCACATTATCTTTGTTTCTGCACATTCAAATGATTCACAAATAACCAAAAACCTAAGAGGCAAGTAGATTTAAGAAGAAAAGCAACCAATAGGGGGGCGGAAAAAACATAGTTCATGTTTGGTATCATTTTCTTTCTTTGACTTTGCAAATTGAGTGTTTAGATACAAAAACAAAGAATAGTTAGAAGATTTGTTTTCATTTTTGTGCAAAATACAATTTTTTGAAAATATCTGTGTTTTCTAAAAGGAGGGTTGTTTCCATAAAATTTTGTAGACAATAGTTTTCGAAAACAAGTAGCCAAACAAGTTTTTCGTGTTTCTCAAAAATGAGAACAAATAATATGAAGTAAAAACAATATGGAACAATCTAATAGCATTTTACACCTTAGGCAATGCATGGTTTGAATATTAGCCAACAATGTGCAACAGGGATCAAACTTGTTATGTGGCGCTTCATTTTTCATTGAACAATAAATATTACCAAGGATGCTAATCCTTTTTCCCAATTCATTCATTTTCAAATAACTAAACTCAATTTGAAAGAACATGAATCTTATTATCCAAAAGATAATGAAAAATATTCAAGTCTCGTTAATGTGTTAAAGAGGAGAAATAATGTGCATGGAATCACACTGAAACTCAAGTTGAGGAAACTTGACACATGTTACGCACCTTAGATAAGCACCATATATCCCGAGTTCTGAGACAGCGTGATCTTTATGACAAATGCCATCACGCATCAAAAATGTGGGCGCAATAGTTGGGAAAATCCTTTGCATGAGGATGTAGGCAGCATCCTCTTCAGTCCTTTCCTCTTGCAATCTTAGTAAAGTTTTCCTTACGTCATCACCGTATATATTATTCCCTGAAGAAGGATGTCGATTCATTTTTAATAGTAATATAAATATTAGCAGCAAGAAGAAGAGTAAGTCAAGGAACACAAAAACCAGTCACAAAACAGGGCACAGAATGTATATGGACGGGTAAGATTTTTTAAAAGTGAACTCCACCAACAAATACTGTTAACTCTTGTCCATTCGTATGTATTTTGTGTTCAAATCTATGATTGGTTTCTGTGTTCAAAACAGAACTGCAACAACAATAACAATGCAAAGAATAAGCTTAAGTAATGGGAACCTCCGCCTTCCCGTTGTGGTTTCATAACATAAAATTCAGGTTTTTCAATTGCATCCTTGACAATAATCGAGTCATCTAGACTCCACAATCCTGCAAAGCATTTTCGTACTTTGGCGATGTCATCTTTGTTCTCAAGAAACCTGCTCACAACCGAGGAAAAGAAATTTTAGCAAGAGACATAGCAGCTAAGAAGCATGGACACTAACACACAAATTTAAAAAAATTGTAGGACACGGGGGCATGTGCAAAACATATAATATTTTATATTTATTATATTTCATATATTTCAACATTACATATTTTATTATATGTCAAATACTTACTCTCATCCAATTTATCAACTTTAGGTACGCTACTTTAGTGACAATAAAAAATATGGTACACCACTTGTCCCCAACGTGTCCCGTGTCCCTAACGTATCCATCACATGTCCCCTAGTGTGTCAAACTGAGAGAAAAATGGGTGAGTTCTTCCAACATAGTGTGTCTATGTCCTACACCAATACATGACCTCCATAGAGGTATCCATTTGTGCTTCATAGCATACCAGATCATGTTTATTTATTTATTATTTTTATTATTATTATCAACAACAAAAAAAGAAATTATTAAATGTTAAACAAAAAGAAGTACAAGAGAGAACAAGGCAAATAAGAAATCCACCAAGAACACTAAATGGATGATTAAAAATGAAACTCATTTCTCCATAAAGTTACGAAGTCGATAATATATTATGGTTCCTAGGAAGGCGAGGTCAGAAGCAAGTTCAAAGAAAATATAATTTCCAATTCGCTTTTTAATTGTAATGTGAGCTCTAATATCTTGGCCTTAGTTCTTGAAGCCATTTATGGTGGAAATATCATGTAAAAGACGCCACTAGTACCTGCATTTTTGTTAAGGATTACAAATTTTAAGGAAATTACATACTGAAGGTTCACATCAATGTATCGTTCACTTAAGATTGAAAGAACAATAAGCTATAAGTATACTTTCTTCTTGTGGGCGATCATAAATCAATCCTCTTGTAATTGCTTTAAAAAAACCCTAGTGAAAATTGCAAATTATCTGAATGAAGAGCAGTACTAAATAATAGTTAAAACAATGAATATTACTACCTCTCAAGAACATTGGGTTTTGCAAGCTCTTGTTGTATCTTCTTGGTGCCTGCTAAATGATAAGAAATTGAAGGGCACTTGACAGCGGAGGACTGCTCCATTAATAGCCTAGCCTTCCACTCCTATAAAAGGGATGACAGTTGATAAAAGAAAAAGAATTGTAAGGTTTACCATTGGGACACTGAGAGGATGTGAAACCAAAATTTGAAACTATTCTAAATAATCCAACATTGTGATCACCATCAAGCAGAGGATGAGAATTTAATTATGGTATTAAAAAAACAATAAAAAGACCCCCCAAAAAAAAAAGAAAAGTAAAGGGTGAGAGCAAACATTCAATGCAAAGTTTGAAAGTAATGTTTGAAAGTAATTTGGCTGGTAGCTGCGGAAAAATGCAGTACTAAATTCTGTTTGTAGATTAAACTTTTGTTATGCTGATGCTTTAGTTTTATGACAAAAAAACTTCATTCTGCAAAGTGAATCTACTCACTGATTCTGAGGGATAATCAGTTGGTGCATACCCAGCTCTGAAATAGATGACTGCAATTGCTTGACCGCCACTGCAGGAGCAAAAGATTTCAACTGGTTAAAGTAATAACTTACAAATAAAAACATCACATTGTAATCCAACAAATTTAGAACCCAAAAAAAAAAAAAAAACTCAAATATTTTAAGCCACAAAGCTACATACACAAGAAGGGTTCCATCTTGTAGAAGCTCCGCTTGCTCATCAATTTCTGCCAAAGTTTTCCGAATAGTTGTAACATCATGTGTGTTACAAAGTTAAGGTTAAATATATATATATATATATATGTGTGTGTGTGTGTGTGTGAAATCAAAATGGTATATCTGATAAATAAATCACTGAAGATAATTATGGAAATTAGTGTTTGACCTATAGTGATAAAAGGACCCCCCCCCCCCCCCTCTCTGACACTTTGTGGTTGCCGTTCTTCAACTCCTTATCTTCTCTCAACAACCTACTTTACCATCCAGTGTATCTCAAATAAAAATTTGCGCTTCATTTCTCTGCCATCTCAATTGGCTCATCTGATTCAATTAGAGATACGCCCTTCTCAAGACCACAAGGAATTCACCAGTCCGCCTCCTTCAGGCGCAGTGATTATGTGTATTGAACCTATTGTAGTCCTGCTAGATGTGTGTTTAAATTGCGGACACTTTATGCTGTCAGATGTCACAAAGGGTGGTGGTGCATCTTTAGGCTCAACCTTATTTAAAGCTGCTATTTTTTGCCCCTCCCAGATTGATTTTCTGGCCCTGCTACTGATGACATGTGACTTACAAAACCTTTAGCTCATAAAGGTTTCAACTTTCAAATACTTATTCTACTTGTCAAGCATAATCCTAATTTTTATTATTCTGATATTTAAACTATAGGAGCTTCATGTGAGTATGTAACTATAAAAAAAAAGGATATCTTTCCTTGAGTATAGTAGAAAGCCAATGTTGGTCATACATATTGCGTTCTGCAGGTTGAACCACAAACATAACTACAGCCCTGTAAACATATAACTGAAAATAGTAAAACCTTGACCCCAGTGAATGCATTAATTCCAAAAGAAAAAGAACCTCATTCAATCAAATACAACCTTGGATTATTATATTCGGTCCAAGCTTTAGCCAATGCCTCTGCAAATCGACTCACAGAAGAGTTTCCAGGAATCCTTCTTGAATCTAACCCAAGTTGTTCCTTGTATTGATTCAGTAAGCTCCTGAAAATGACCGCCAACTATTTAATTACTTCTTATTTTGCTGTTTATTTTTGGGGGATAATGCGTCAGAAAATAATTTTCTTCTTCAAGACCCAGAATACACCCAAATATTCTACGACTTCATAGTGTTAAATAACAAGAAAGAATAAACAATATGGATCCACAAATAGTGTTTTCAATCTAAAAGATATAATTAGAGAAAAAGTAATGGTAAATTAAAAGCAATTGAGGCATGAAACTATTTTGTGGCCACAATTCATAGTAGCCACATCAGCAACTGTTTAAGAGGGTACTAGGACGAATTGTGTGGCATACCACTTTTGTTGATGAGCAACGAAAAATGATACCCTATCTATAAGGCAAAGATAAGTATCAAAACAATAAAAATGCAGAAATAATACAAAGAGAAAATGCACTGATAAAAGAGACAAAATAAACCTAGTCACCTACTAATACATGTAATTGTCTAAAATTTTAATTGCGGATAATATATAATATTACCCCCTTTATGTTATATCAGTGAATTATTACCAAATACCATGAAATGAAACAAGGATTCTTGTCCTAATATCCTTGAAATAAGACAACATTTCACTGAATTTATTCTCACACAAACTGTATCTTACACCATCATATTACATTCCTATGTTATTGAGAGCACATACCATTTCGGAAAAACATGCTATTCATAACACCATGTTAAAGCTTTTTCAATTATTGCTATTATTATTATCATTGTTTCATGATGCCTTGTTCAATTATGTTTAGCCTTGAAGAAAAAGCTCATGATAGTTTCCATTATCAAAGATGCACTACTCTGACGAAAGTTTTGCAACTTTAATTACCTAATACTGCACGGAAAGATCAGTTTATAATTTAGAAGATTTTGGCTGCAATGCCTACTTCGACATGTTGACCAAAATAAGCTTTCTGAGGCGTCATTGGAAAAAATTTGAAGTTTGAACCTCATGCAAATATGAGAACTACCACAAGAAGTTTGAACAATAGTCACCTTTTGATGCATGATTTGGTGGTTTGAATAAAATTAAAGAATAAGAGAAGCATGCTTACCCAACAGAACAACAATAAATATGAAGACAGAAAATATACTTAACCTGTGAAGCTCGCTGACAAGACAACTGAGGCCAGGAAATGATGATGAAATTGTGTTAAGCTCTATCTGGAGAAGTAATTTAGTTTTTTCATCGAGCATATAATCAGAGCGAAGTAAACCCAAGCGTATATCCTATGTCAGTGATTGGAACAAAAATAAGTAAATAAATAAAAATTAGTGTCTTCTCCATGTCAAAAACTTAATTCACTTCCTTCAACAACAATATCTAGAATTATCTAAACGAAGAGACAAGGTAAAAGGAGCTGCCCAAAAACCAGAAATATTGTTGCCATTACAATTTTAATTTGTGACATTCTAAAAGAGATGATTTGGAATATATCATTAGCAAAGTGTAACAAGGTTATTCCACAAAAAGAGAATTGATAGGACCAACTTATGGAGTTCTATGCTATAACAATCAACATTCACTGCCTCATCGATATATGCTTACCTCTTTCTTGCCAATTTCTAGCATCTTTGAATGAATATCTAAGAGTCTGGAGGTGAAAACATCCACTTTCTTTGTTCTAATATGTAAAGAAAGAGAAGAATATTTCAGTTCACAATTGCTTTACTTATCAATAAAAAGTAAGCATTTGTTGCCTATCTTTCAGGAAACAAAAAGGGAGACTATATTCTTTCGATAAATATACAATAGCAATCAAATTGGCAAAAAAGGAAAACTATGTGGCACTAAAATAAAGCTAAAACTAGAAGCAACCACGACAAATACACAGAAATTGAATGTTGCACAAAATTATGGAAAACTGTTTTTTTCATCTTTTCCCCCCCTTTTGGTAGGTAAAATAATTTGAAACATAGTTACTCGGAAACTCACTTCCCTAGAAATTCGTCTCTACAACAGAGAAAAAATTCACCTGAAATTTAAAGTGAAACTCTTAAGAATCGTTTCCAATATGTTTCTGAAAGTTTAGCACAATATTAAAAAACTTGTGAGAAATTCTTGAAAAATATTGTGGAAACACTGTAGAAACTCATCTCATAATTTCTAGTACTTTTTCTTTCTCACAAATCTCATTTTCAACAGAAACATATAATTGTTCTAGTAAGTTTCTAAAATATTTTGCAGCATTAGTATTGTAGCTGACTAAGAAAGTACGCTAATACTTTATGCTGCTAATTTTAAGATTCTTAATAAATTTTAGGATAAATTACAAATACACTCCCTAAGATTTGCTTAAAATACAAATTGTCCCCTGTGGTAATAGAAATTACATCTCGCCCCTTGAAGTTTCTAATTTCATAACAAATAATCCCTTTTATTAATAAATCATCAAGTCAATTAATAATTTTTAGTGATACTATTAGAAATTTATTTTAATTAATACTTCAGGTAATTTTATTATTTTAGGAAATCAGTTATGAATTTCATTTTTTTCAATCAATTTTGTTAAATAAAAAAATTCTATCATCAATTAATCCTGTTAAATAAAAAATTATAATAAAGGGATATTTGTAATTTCCATAACCATAGGGGACAATTTATATTTTAAATAAATCTCAAGGAGTATATTAGTAATTTACTCTAAAATTTATTATTATAAATATTCTATTCAATATTATATCGCTTAGAGTTTCTTTTTTGTGTTTCCAATAATATTTTTTGACCATCTTTCATGTTTATGTTTCCTGTATCCTTTCCTGCTTCTGTTTTTCAGATTGGCAAGTATAGCACGGAAAAACCTTGGAGGGCAGAGTTCATTGATTATGCCATACCAGGCAGTGTCATGCGTTCAGAATATGTCAAGTCATATATTGAGGTCATGGACTGAGAGGTGAATATACACCTAAAGAGAAATTTATCGTTTCTCATGTAAGTGCTCCTGCATTTGCTAAGAGATTTATGGTGCATAAAATTACAGCAGACTTCGATTATTCTCCTTTTGGGATCTGCGTCTGCCCCTGATTGACCCCAAGTAGTTTGGTTAAGAAGTTATGGAGTTAGTTGTGCACCAACAAACTCATACAAAAATGACCACTAATTACTGCCCGCACATGTAAGCAGGCAAGCGTGTCTGCCTAGAGTAATTATCTTGTCTTCTCAGAACACCATGTTGGTTTGTGCCCGTTCAGTAATAGGGGCTATGTGCTTACATGGTTCAAAAAAATAGGACTAACGTGGGAAAATCACAAAATACCATTTATTGGACCCTTGTGATAATTTCTGGTATCACTTGACACCCAATCTTCCCCACAGAAAACCATACACATTATAACCAAGTGAAAGTACAAAGCACATTATAAAGAACTTGCCCCACCCAATGAGTAAATACTTCACCCTAGCTTCATGAGAATATTCACCTTCATTTCAATTTCAAGATAATTACGACACATGGAGGGAGGGGGGGGGAGAGAGAACCTGGAGAGTGAATGCTGTAAAAAATTTCCATCCAAACTCACACGATCAGCAATTTCATTAAAAATAGGAGCCAACTCACATGCTTGTCTCCAATGACTTTCTGGGAATGAAATGGGCAATAAGGCAAATGGGGCATGAACCATGCCCACCCCAGGCACTTTTCCTGATCTCTGCAAGTTAAATCATCCAAACATCACCACAAGTAAATGTAGCTCTATTCTTCAAATCATTCTTGCCTTATTTAAAAGGTCCGGCTAACCACCACGCGTTGGTTACGGATCGAATAATGCCAAAAAAAATTATAATTTCAATACACATTTCACATAAATCTATATATTTTTACACACTTTTCACATACTTCAATACACCTTTTATACTTTTGCCTCTAATAATTTATTCCTTTGAAGTTTCAGGTATTTTGTTAAATTTTTATACCTCATCTTCACTTTATCTTGCAAAGTATTGATTATAAGACCTACCTTGAAACCCATTGTACTGTGCAAAGTTGTAAAAGGCTTTGTTGAGGCTCGCCTCGCCTACTGTAAAACGCATCAAGACTTTGATTTTTAGACATTACTCCCCAAAAGCTTGCGCATCACAGTTTGAGACATGTACCTTAGTTGTGCTTTGTACGCTTTTTGTACATAAGCATATGAGAGTATGCATATGCAGCAGAGGTTGGATTGGGCTTTTGTTAAACTTGCTTAAACATAAAAAAGCAAAAAATAAAAAGAATCCATTTTTGCAACTATATTCTACAAGAAAAGTTAAGTAAATGATCAAATCAAGAAAAACACAGTAAATGGTTGACAAGCTCAATCACTAAAGTTAAAAATATCAATTTCACTTTCACTAAAAAGGCAAATTTCCTTTTATGTAGTAAAATATTCGATGCCTTAAGGAGAAACGTATTTACACCTTTATATTTAATTTTAGTTTTAATTTTTTACTATTTAAAAATATTTAATTTATTCACTAAGTATTAATATTTAAAATTTGAAATGCTTATGTCTTCACGCCTTGAGGCTTACAGCTCATTTCATAAGGGACAAAATGTCTCGAGATACGCATTCACCTTTAAAAACTTTGGTACTATGTACCAAAAATAATTCTTTGCAATGCCTTCACATTTTCCAAGAGAAATCTTTCTCCTTCCTACCCTCTGCTGTACCCGGAAAATAGGAAAATAACAATCCAAGGTAGAAGACCAAAAAAAAAATTTGTAAAACATGAGGGGCAAATCTTTGTGTGGTGGGACTCAAAAGCTGTGGACTTGCACCTTCTATGTTTTTTTATCTGTCTCATTGGGATGTAATTCCCTCCCGGAAAATCCACTGGCAACAAATCAAATAATAGAGGGGAAATTTTATAAGGAAACAGATTCTCCCTGGTCTACAGTAGATTGGACCGTGTTGCTCGGCCCCATGGGGCTTACCACAGGTTATGTTTTGATGATTCGGAACATTTAATGTGTAGAGCTCGTTGAATATTTTATTCCTACAAAAAATCACATTGATCAAATACTTGATCAGATCTGATTTTTGTTAACAATTTATTTTAAAAATATTTTTGACAAAAATATGATTTGAAACAGCTGAAACTTCCTTTAATAGCTATCTACTTGCATTCTATCCTGAAGCTTAGGAAATGTAAGAATAAACTCGTAGTCCAATGTTACTGCATATGCAAGACCCTTTTATTCACACACACACATATGCTATGGACTAGTACTTTCTGCAACGTACGACAGTACCATCTCATCTTGTGCTTTATAAAAAACGCATCATGGAAAAACCAAAATTACAGTAATTTGATTGTGGAAAAAGTAGATGTTGCTTCAAGATTCCACATTTATGTCACTTATCCTAAAATTGGGATCATCGAATCAATAACCGTGATGGCCACTACAGGCCTAACAGCACCCTTATGACACAATGGGCTATCACCTTGTAATCGGACAAAAAGTTTGGATTATGCCTCTCAAATGGGGTTTGATTATGAACCTGAGTTATATGACTTGACTATTTTGATTATGACTTAAAATATCTTTAATTATTTTCAAGTGATATTAAGTTACAATACAATAAAAACCCATTCTTTTTAATTTTAACTTAAAAAGTGATTTGATCCCAAGTCTTTGTGAATCATAACTTGCGTATTGTAGGCATTTTGAGAAATTTATAGGGTAGAATGACCCATGAAGATCCCAAGGAAAATTCATTTTTAATTAATTGTTTATTTATTTTTCTATGAACAGACAAACCCAGAGAGACAGAGAGAGAAGAGAGAGAGAGAGATTGCGCTGACCTGTACGTTTGTGTCTCCAACAAGAAGCCCATGAAGCGAACTCCAAACCAGAACATCATTCACCAATCTCTGAAGCAACTCAGAGTCGATACCATGAACATGAGACATGGGTTTTGAAGAATTCTCCTCTTGGGTTTTGATCTCTTCAACCCTGCCGCACTTGACAGCCAAAAATGACAGAGATGAGGGTTGGCTCATGGTGGTTTTGGTGGAGTTTTGGTGATGGTTTTGAGAGAATTTAGAGGTGGGATTAGTGTGTGATTTTGATTTGTGAGGGAAAAGAGTGATGGAGGCAAAGCGAGAGGTATGAGTCAAGGAGGAGGAGAGAGAGCAAGTTGAGTAGCCAACACCCATTTGTGGCTCTCGTTTTTTCTTTTTTTTTTTTTTTGTAGATTTTTCCCCTGAAACTGAAAGTGATTTGTTATTTGTTAGAACAATGATGGCCCAATTTGGAATAAGAAAATGTCTCGTAACTCAAATTTTGTAGCTCAAAAGTGGCTCAAATGGTCAAAACGATGTCGTTTTGGCCATTTTTATGTTGTTCTGTACTTAAAACGACGTCGTTTTGACCATTTGAGCCACTTTTGAGCCACAAAATTTGAGCTACGTAGCATTGTCGTTTGGAATAACTGCTAAAACATATTACACATTATAAGTTAATAAATTATAGGTTATAGATTATGATTTTAATGTGAAATTATTAATTTGTTTAGCATAATTGTTAGATTATATATTTAAGTTGTTGAGTATTGTTTATTAAATAAGTTATGAAGTAACTTTTTTAATTAATTTTTAGTTTTTATTATTCACTACTTGTTTACATTTCTCATAAAAAATAATAATAATATTTTATAGTCTATTTGGGTCTTTTTCTTTTTTCTTTTTTAAAAAAAAAAAAAATCTAAGAGTATAACCGTAAATTAACATATCCATAGCAGAAGTCGATAATCAGAAGCAAAGGGGTGAGCAGCTTTTCAGTATCAGTTTTTTTGACCTAAAATAAATTGTTAGAATCAGAAACTGTTTGAAATAAATTTAACTAAATAGTCCAAAATAACTTTTCAAAAATTAGAAGCCATAAGTTGGCTCAAAAAAGCCCAAACAAACACCCCTATTGTAATCCAAATTTTTAAAGTTCGAATGGCCCGACGTGATTTTGGAATAAAATAATGTTATTTTGATACATTCGAGCCATTTAAATCACAAAAATTCAAGTCATGTAATATTTTTCTATTTGTTATTTGTATTTGGCAGACACTGTAAAGACAAATCCAACTTGAATTACCCTTTTAATATAAAAATTTTAGTAGACAAATCCAACTTTAATTACTCTTTTAATATAAAAATTTTAGTTTATAATATAGAAACTTATTTTTTATTTTTTGCTATAAATTTAATTTAAAATTAAAATGTTGCGTACAAATTTTCTTTCATTATTTTTATTGAAAAGATCATTGCTAATCATGTTTTAGTATTATTTAAAAATAAATAGTCCGTTTAGTTTAATTTTAAAATTATAATTTGAGTGTGGAGTTGTATTTTGAGTTTTTGAATCATGATTTGTAAAAAGAAAATTTGTTTGGTTATAAGTTTTGAAAATAGTTTTAGAATAATTTGTAATTTTTTTTATTTTTTTTAATTGATTGATATATTAAATGTGAAGGGAAAGATGAGAGAGAAAAAGTGATTGATTGATTAAATAATAACAAATAAATAAAAAGAGAGAAGAGAGAAATTTTGAAAGTTATTTTGAGTTATATTTTAAAAATCAAAAATGTTCTGGAGCCCTAATAAAAGAGCTATAATAGTTCTAATGGAGTGTGGGTCCCACTGTGATAGTGATATTTGTATTTTTTTATTTTTTTATTTACTTTTCATGTCATTAGAGCTCATTGATTTAGAGAGATATGTCATTGTTGTTTAAAAATATGTTTGATTAACATATTTCATCAAAATCATTATTTAAAAACAGAATAGAGTTTTGAAAAGTAAACCAAATGTTACCAAAGTTTGTCTGTACATTAGTTATACCTAAAGTTTTCTTTATTTGAATTTGATTCAATTAATTTTTCTTTCATATATTTTGGTTTTCATTTGGTATCACATTTAAATTATATTTTATGATTATAAATTTTTACATTATTATATGAAACAATTTAAAATAAATTACAAAATTTATGGTGGAGCTTTCCATAATCTGTTAAAAAAATTGAAATTGTTTGTGTACGAGCATGAAATAATTCTTCTCGTATGATCCTGTTGATTAAGCTTGCGCTCCTCGAAACATCGTCGCTTTGCCACCTGAAAATACAAACGTGAGCTAACCGGCGGGTGTGTACCGAAAACCCCTTCGATGCCTAAGTCAGCACAATAGACAATAGACATAAAAGCTCTGTGAATTCAGAAATCCAAGTTGTGTTACCTCTCCATAGGTGATGTTATAAGCTTTTATAGGTTCCGCGTGGCACAATCCTAGTAGGACTCTTATTCCTCCATGTAGAGTCTTCCTAGGAATCACATTCTTAAAAGACAATGCTTATCTCTTAACACCCCTCACTGCTTAAACCAAGTGAGATGGTTTTACCTCGGTAGTATGACAAAACCACCGAGCTAACATAGCCATGTTAAACTGGCAAATATGACCGAGCTCTAACTAGCTCAATTCTTCCTTTCATAGCTTGTACCTTGGTTTCACCTGTTGAGACCGAACTAACCATAGCAAGCTTGGGCTGAGCTAATCTAGAGCAAGGTCTTGAGGGAAGCTCAAACCATTTCTGCCCAGAATGGTACGACCGAGCCAATTGTTACCACTCTGATCGTGGTAACCGAGCTAACTTCAAGGCTCTTCTTAGACCGATCTAACTACATGGCCCTTTTACTCAACCCTTTCTTACTGCGGCCCACAGAACGGCCCATTACCCAGCTCGACCCAATTTACTTATAAATTACCCTCTCAGTTTGGTTAAACAAATTGTCACATTAAAAAAGTATAATTAAAGGCAGAGATTGGATTATTTTGTCCACATTTATTTAAGGGTTTAAAATAAACTAAAAAATGTATAAATTATAACTTAAGAAAATTTACATTTTTAAGTTAAATAACCTAAAAAGTCAAATAAATTATAATTTAAAGAGTAAATTGGTGATAAATTCAATCTAAGGAAGTTGTAAGGCAAGGTCTAGTGGATATTTTTTGTTAGTGAGAGGTTCACCCTTTATGAAATAGTTTGGTGAGAAATTCTTTTTCTTTTTTTTTTTTGAATGACATTTTATTTTTAATTTTGTGCCTTAATTTATTTGTTGACTTTTCTTTTATCTGTTGACTATCTGTTCAAATTTTTTTGTTATCTATTCAAAATTTTTCTTATCTATAAAAAATTTTTTGCCTATCTGTTCCAAATTTTTACCTATCTGTTCAATTTTTTTTCTTATATGTTCAAAATTTTTCCTATCTGTTTAAATTTTTTGACTGTCTATTTAATTTTTTCCCCTTATCTGTTGAATTTTTTGCCCCTGTTGAATTTCACAAAGCCTATTTTCCTCATTTTTTGAATTTCATAAACCTATTTTTTATCTATTTAATTTTTTATTTTTATCTATTTAAATTGTGATATACATAGAGAGGAAATGGAGATTGATATATTAAAATTTTTTTATCAGTTCAAATAATTTACAACAAGAACAATCTGAATCACCAATAATGGCTTTACAATCATCGAATTTCAAAATAAAAATAAAAAAGAGCATGAATTGTTTTGTTCTATCTGTTCAAATATCTATTTTCTCTATCTGTCTTTGTCTCTCTTTCTCTCTGTCTCTTGTAAGATTTAATAATACATGTAACCATAATAATAATGCGGAATTAAATTTTACAGGATCTTGAATTCAATACAACTCAAGAATAAAATGAACATACCTTTGTCAACCATTGAATTAGAGAAGTTGAGAAAATACCCCTAATAGTTGAACCTTTAATTCTTGGCTCACATTCTTCTCTCGGTCTCTCTTAATTAGGATGACTATAAAACTTAGAGTGATAGAAAAATACCCATGATATGAAAGGGGAGTCACCCATCCTTATATAGAGGAGAGAAGAGGGCCAGATAAACTCTATCAGAAGAATTCCTATCCATCAAGGGTTCCTTCTTATCTTAGAAGAGTAATTATATTAAAATTTTAATTACTGAACTTTATATCAAATATTAGTTTTATCTAATTGTGGAGTCCAAATAAATTAAAACATGTAGATATATGTAGGCTATTGGGCCACACTAGAAAATAAATCTAACATTCTCCCACTTGGCCCATTAAGTCGATTATGATGCAATTATGAGTTTTTTCCAAGAAATATGCAACTTATAAAAAAATTTTGACTCATTGGATTACACACTAAAAACTTTGACACGTGATCACGAATTTTAAAAATAGCCAATAAGTTCAGATATATTAAAAACTATAATACTGTGATTACTTTAGATCACCAATGTGAGTCACAGCGGTTATATAATATTTATGTCATATTCCCTTCTATGCACCACACCATCGATAACCTTCACTAGCCCAGTCCATTATTGGGATATGTAATTATTTACCTGAAAGGCCCCTGCAATTTGTCTTGTTAAGACATTTCATGTTTATCAATATTCAAATTAATGTGTACACACATTTTTAGAACAGGAAAAACATAAACAAAATTATTATTGCGCAAATAGTGTCAAATAAAAATAAGCACTCACGATTAACCATACACATCAAGGGTTGCTTAAAAGACCCATCCTGATAACATGCTCTTTGTATGTCTTTGGTGGCAATCCCTTTGTGAATAGATCAGCAATCATAAGAGATGTGCTTAAGTTTTCAATTAACACTTGTTGTTTATGGACTCTTTCTCTAACAACTAAGTACTTTACTTCCATGTGTTTGGAACCACTGGAGTACTTTCCATTCTTAGAGAAGAAAACTACTGCGGTATTGTCACAATATATCTTCAGTGGCTTGGCAATTGAGTCAACAACAACAAGTTCTGAGATGAAATTTCACATATATAAAGCATGATTTGTAGCCTCGAAGCATATGTAATGTCCTTCATTTGTTTTATGTCCAAGTCAGTCCTTGGACACTATT